AGAGAGCTCCCAATCAGCATTGTCACAGTGCTTCTGGAATCCTGGCACTGGAATTCAGTGAATGACAGACTCTCTTTGAATCCAGGGCCATCATGGCTCTTTGAGCAAGGCACAGATGGAGGGAGGGGTCGAAGTTGAAATGGCTGGGAAGAGTGGTGGGGAGCGTCCTGATTTCGGGTGGGCAGAGAGTTGTCATCAGAAAAGTTGCAGGGAGAGCTGCACCCAGGTGTCTGTGGGCCTTGTCCTAATGAATGTGGGAGACTAGGCCATGGGCACCCAAAGGCAGCTAAACCCTGCCCAGGAGAGTAGTTGACGGGGGGAGAGGGGCTTGCTTTTCAGCCACTCCTCATTCTGTCCTCAGGAATGTCCCAAGCCTTCGGGTAGGGTAAGCATCATGGCCGCCAGCCTCACAGGATTGCTTCTACTTCAGGCAGTGTCATGGGCATCAGGTAGGTGAGTCAAGGCGGTGGTGAGGTAGCACAGAGGCTCTCTTCTGCCTCGTAGTCCTTTGGTAGCCTTCCAGTACTCTGGTGGTAGACTTAATAGGTGCTCAATAAATCCTTTTGAGTGACTGAGACCAACTTTGGGGTGAGGAGTTTTGAGACCGTATTCCATCTCTCTGAGCAGCTGTGTCCGTTCTCCACATCCTCATCAGACCTCACCTCTGCTTGTGCTCCCTCCCCTGTGGCGCCCCTGCATCCCTAAAAGCTTCAGCTACAACTTGGTGGTCTGTGTCTGCAATGCCACATACTGTGACTCTCTTGACCCCCTGACCTTTCCTGCCCTAGGTACCTTCAGCCACTATGAGAACAGAAGTAGTGGGCATTGGGTGGAGCTGAGTAAGGGGACCATCCAGGCTAATTGCACTGGCACAGGTAAACATTACACCCTTCACCCCCTGGGCCAGGCTGGGTCCTCTTAGAGGCAAACGGTATCAGTGATCATCAAGGAGTTTCTCCCCTGGGAACTGAGACCCTTATTCCCTGTGGATGTCCTCGGGCCTGCTACTGACCCTGCAGCCAGAACAGAAGTCCCAGAACGTGAAGGGATTTGGAGGGGCCATGACAGATGCAGCTGCCCTCAACATCCTTGCCCTGTCACCCCCTGCCCAAAATTTGCTACTTAAATCGTACTTCTCTGAAGAAGATGAGGAGGAAGGGGACAAGATGACAGTGCCTTTGACACTTTTCTTTGCCCTTTCTTTGGATCCTGACTTCTGCCCATCCCTGACATTTGGTTCCCGTTTTAATGCCCTCTGAAATAAGATTTCCCCGCCTATCATCTGCTAACTGCTTATAGACTCAGGCTCAGAAAGGCCTGTATTTCACCCAGGTGCCAGCCTCCACAGGTTCCAATCCAGGAGCCCAAGTTCCCTTTGGCCCTGACTCAGACACTATTAGGACTGACAAGTGATAAGCAGAGTCCCATACTCTCCTATTGACTCAGACTACCATATCTTGATCATCCTTTTCTGTAGGAATCGGATATAACATCATCTGCGTACCCATGGCCAGCTGTGACTTCTCCATCCGCACCTACACCTATGCAGACACCCCTGATAATTTCCAGTTGCACAACTCCAGCCTCCCAGAGGAAGATACCAAGCTCAAGGTAGGCATTCTAGCTTTTTCAGGCCCTGATGGCCCTGATGTCTGGGGGTTGATGTAGGGTAGGTCTGCTTGTAGAGATGTTTTGTCCCTTGCTATTTTGTCCCGGGGGTGGGAGGGTGGGGGCTGATGGCTGAACCGGATGCACTGGTTGGGCTAGTATGTGTTCCAACTCTGGGTGCTTCTCTCTTCACTACCTTTGTCTTTAGATACCCCTGATTCACCGAGCCCTGCAATTGGCCCAGCGTCCCGTTTCACTCCTTGCCAGCCCCTGGACATCCCCCACTTGGCTCAAGACCAATGGAGCGGTGAATGGGAAGGGGTCACTCAAGGGACAGCCTGGAGACATCTACCACCAGACCTGGGCCAGATACTTTGTGAAGTAAGGGATCAGCAAGGCTGTGGGATCAGGACTGGCCTCCCCTTTGGTCATGCTGATCTGTGTCCCAACTCTCAACCTCATTCCACTTCCAGATCTGCCTCTCCTCAGCTCACCTTTCTACCTTCTGGGCCTTTCAGATTTGGGCCTGTCAATCTTGCCCACTCCATCAGGCTTCCTGTTCTCTCGGTCTGGCCCACTTTCTTTTTCTTCTTTTTTTTTTTCTGAGGAGTCTCTCTCTCTGTCACCCAGGCTGGAGTGCCGTGGCGCCATCTTTGCTCACTGTAACCTCTGCCTCTCGAGTTCAAGCTATTCTCCTGCCTCAGCCTTCCAAGTAGCTGGGATTACAGGCGCCTGCCACCATGCCCAGCTAATTTTTCTGTTTTTAGAAGAGACGGGGTTTACCCAGGTTGGGCAGGCTGTTCTCTAACTCCTGACCTCAAGTGATCTACCTGCCTCAGCCTCCCAAAGTGCTGGGATTACAGGCGTGAGCCAACATACCCAGCTGGTCTGCTTCACCTTCTTGGCTGGATCACTCATGACCTTTCTCTTGCCAGGTTCCTGGATGCCTATGCCGAGCACAAGTTACAGTTCTGGGCAGTGACAGCTGAAAATGAGCCTTCTGCTGGGCTATTGAGTGGATACCCCTTCCAGTGCCTGGGCTTCACCCCTGAACATCAGCGAGACTTTATTGCCCGTGACCTAGGTCCTACCCTCGCCAACAGTACTCACCACAATGTCCGCCTGCTCATGCTGGATGACCAACGCTTGCTGCTGCCCCACTGGGCAAAGGTGGTAAGGCCCAGACCTGCATGGTGCTCCAGTGACCTTCAAATCTATCCTCCAAATGACTGGCTCCCAAACTTAGAGCAATTTCTCTACCCAACTGTGGATTCCTAGAGCACCATTCCCCTGGACCTCCAGGGCGCCATGGATCCCACAGTTGTCACTTTAAACCTTTCTAGGGGCCAGGCGAGGTGGCTCACTCATGTAACCCCAGCACTTTGGGAAGCCGAGGCGGGCGGATCACCTGAGGTCAGGAGTTTAAGACCAGCCTGGCCAACGTGTTGAAACCCTGTCTCTACTAAAATTAAAAAAAAAAAAAATTATCTGGGCATGATGGTGGGTGCCTGTAATCCCAGCTACTCGGGAGGCTGAGAGGGGAGAATCAGTTGAACCCGGGAGATGGCGGTTGTGGTGAGATGAGATTGTGCCACTGCACTCCAGTCTGGGCGACTGAGACTCCATCTCAAAAAAAAAAAAAAAAAAAAAAAAAAAACCTCTCTAGGCTCGGGGCGTTGGCTCATGTCTGTAATCTCAGCACTTTGGGAGGCCAAGGTGGGTGGATCACTTGAACCTAAGAAATTCAAGACCAGCCTGGGAAACATGGTGAAATCCCATCTCTACAAAAAAACCAAAAACTATATATGTATACACACACACACACAAATTAGCTGGGTGTGGCACCCATGTAGTCCCAGCTACTCAGGAGGCTAACGCGGGAGGATCAATTGACCCTAGAAGTCAAGGCTGCAGTGAGCTGTGATTGTGCCACTGTACTCCAGCCTGAGTGATGGGGTGATATCCTGTCTCAAAAACAAAAAAAATATCTCCCCAAACCTCTCTAGTTGCATTCTTTCCATCACCCATTGCCAGAATTCCTACAAGAGGAATTGAAAGTTCCAGAAGACTGTGTGCAAGGTCCAGGGTCACTTGCTCTTCCTTTGCAGGTACTGACAGACCCAGAGGCAGCTAAGTATGTTCATGGCATTGCTGTACATTGGTACCTGGACTTTCTGGCTCCAGCCAAAGCCACCCTAGGGGAGACACACCGCCTGTTCCCCAACACCATGCTCTTTGCCTCAGAGGCCTGTGTGGGCTCCAAGTTCTGGGAGCAGAGTGTGCGGCTAGGCTCCTGGGATCGAGGGATACAGTACAGCCACAGCATCATCACGGTAAGCCACCCCAGTCTGCCTTCATGCAAAGCACACCTCAGACCCCTTAGTAGTCTCACCAAAGACTGACAGACCTTTCCTGTCCAGCTTTCCCCAGCTAGCCTGCCCTTTTGGGCAACTGGGGAACTATGATTCCCTGTCTTGCCTTTCCTTCACAGGTCTGCACACCTCACTGCCCCCTTTTTTTTTTTTGAGACAAAGTTTGGCTCTGTCACCCAGGCTGGAGTGCAGTGGCACGATCTCGGCTCATTGCAAGCTCTGCCGCCCGGGTTCACGTCATTCTCCTGCCTCAGCCACCCAAGTAGCTGGGACTACAGGTGCCTGCCACCACGACCGGCTAATTTTTTTGTATTTTTAGTAGAGACAGGGTTTCACCGTGTTAGCCAGGATGGTCTCGATCTCCTGACCTTGTGATCTGCCCACCTCAGCCTCCCAAAGCGCTGGGATTGCAGGCGTGAGCCACCATGCCCGGCTCATAGCCCCTTTTGCAAATACTGACGCACTTGCACCTGCCTCAGACTTCTCAGCACCCCTTGAGATGCCTCCATCTTCACACCCCCAACTCCTTAGCAGCTAAGGAATGTGCCCCTCACAGGGCTGAGCTACCCACAGCCACTTCTCCCTCATGTGACCCTTACCTACAGTCTCTGGGGACCCCCAGTATTGAGCCTTTGTCTCTTTGCCTTTGTCCTTACCCTAGAACCTCCTGTACCATGTGGTCGGCTGGACCGACTGGAACCTCGCCCTGAACCCTGAAGGAGGACCCAATTGGGTGCGTAATTTTGTCGACAGTCCTGTCATTGTAGACATCACCAAGGACACGTTTTACAAACAGCCCATGTTCTACCACCTTGGTCACTTCAGGTGAGTGGAGGGCGGGCACCCCCATTCCATATCAGGCTTATCATCTCCTACATCAGATGGCTTACATCACTCTACACCATGAGGGAGCAGGAAGGTGTTTAGGGTGGAACCTCGGGAGAGGCACACCCATCCCCTTTTGCACCATGGAGGCAGGAAGTGACTAGGTAGCAACAGACAACCCCAGTGCCTGAGGCTGGACTGCGATGTAGAAAAGCAGGGTCAGTGCCCAGCAGCATGGCTCCAGGTCTAGAGACCCAGGGCAGAGCTTCTGCAGGAGTTATGGGGTGGGTATGCGGGTGGGTGACTTCTTAGATGAAGGTTTCATGGGCGGTACCCTGAGGGACTCTGACCATCTGTTCCCACATTCAGCAAGTTCATTCCTGAGGGCTCCCAGAGAGTGGGGCTGGTTGCCAGTCAGAAGAACGACCTGGACACAGTGGCACTGATGCATCCCGATGGCTCTGCCGTTGTGGTCGTGCTAAACTGGTGAGGGCAACAGTGGGGTCTGGGAAGTGGGCTGAAGACAGGGTCGGGGGCCTTGGCAGGATCACACTCTTAGCTTCTCTTCCCCACTCCCTAGCTCCTCTAAGGATGTGCCTCTTACCATCAAGGATCCTGCCGTGGGCTTCCTGGAGACGATCTCACCTGGCTACTCCATTCACACCTACCTGTGGCGTCGGCAGTGATGGAGTGGATACTCAAGCTCAGCCTGGGCATTAAAAGGACAGAGTCAGCTCACACGCTGTCTGTGGCTAAAGAGGGCACAGCAGGGCCAGGGTGAGCTTACAGCGACATAAGCCCAAGGGCAGTGGTTTGGGTGATTCACTTTCCCCTCTAGGTGGTGCCAGGGGCTGGAGGCCCCTAGAAAAAGACCAGTAAGCCCCAGTGTCCCCCCAGCCCCCATGCTTATGTGAACGTGCACTGTGTGCTGCCTGCTTTGGAAACTGGGCCTGGGCCCAGGCCTAGAGTGAGCTCACTGTCGTACAAACACAAGATGAGGGGTGAGGGTAAGGAAAAGAAGAGACTAGGAAAGCTGGGCCCAAAACTGGAGACTGTGTTTCCTGGAGATGCAGAACTGGGCCCGTGGAGCAGCAGTGTCAGCATCAGGGCGGAAGCCTTAAAGCAGCAGCAGGTGTGCCCAGGCAGCCAGATGGTTCCTGTGGGACTAGCCAGGAAAAATGGCAGCTCTTAAAGGAGAAAATGTTTGAGCCCAGTCAGCGTGAGTGGCTTTATTCTGGGGGGCAGCACCCCGTGTCCGGCTGTACCAACAAAGAGGAGGCACGGGGGCCTCTGGAATGCACGAGAGTAGAAAAACCAGTCCTGGGAGCGTGAGGACAAATCATTCCTCTTCATCCTCCTCAGCCATGCCCAGGGCCCGGGTGCCTGGGGCCCGAGCAGGCGTTGCCCGCTGGATGGAGACAATGCCGCTGAGCAAGGCGTAGCCCACCATGGCTGCCAGTCCTGCCAGCACAGATAAGATCTGGTTCCGGCGCCGGTATGGCTCCTCCTCAGTGTCTGGGCCTGCTGGTGTCTGGCGTGGTGGTGGTACCTCAGCTGAGGGTCAAGGAAGGAAGGTGAGTTAGGGGAACTAGTTCTCGGATCCCTGCCCACTCTCCCCAGGGCTGCCCCTCCCATCTGCCCCTTACCTCCATCCCAGGGGAAGTAGAGACTGAGGATGTGGGTACAATAGGCACAGAGGTTGTGCAGCCCCCGCAGGTGGGCCTGCAGCTTCCCACTGGGCAGCTTTGCCTGTAGCAGCAGGGCCAAGTAGCTAAAGACGAAGGCGTCCAAGGAGGCAGGGCTGGAGCAGAGAGAGAAGGGTGGGATGGAGGAGAAGCACTGGGGCAGAAGGGGTAAAGATGGAGCTGGAGGAAGAGTCAGCCCTGGGAGGTGGGCTCTGGGCAGCAGGCGGCCATCAGGGAAGGACAGGACACACAGTTCTAGACCTGGTATTGGGAGAGATCCCCAGGTGGCGCCAGCCTGGCCCTGAATAGG